AGTTCATGGTGACTATAAGTGGTGCTAGGTTTTCAATTGTTTGTGAAAGAGGCTTGAGGCAGTGATGACAATGACCTTTCAGTTTCAGGGAATAGTATCATCAGCCCACAGGAAACCTTGATTACAAATAGCTGCTCCTCATCCACTGCCTTTTTATTCTTCCTAGTTCTGGAATCCTGATGGCGTTTGACTGTGGTTTGCTAAGGTTGACCACACAGAGACAGATCACTTTTGGCCTGAAGAAATCTGGATCTACCAGGATTAAAATCTGTATTTACCTTTTGATCTTCTATCAGGATGGGAAATTGTGTTTTATTCCCTGCACCAATTCTGATCCAAAAATGTAATAAATGAGGTGAATGAATCCAAGAGACAGGTCAGCAGGTTGTGGTCAAGTCTATCACAATCAACATATAGAACAAAGGACTTTTTAATCATTATTCTGGAATAATGTGCTCCAGAAAAAGGAAAAGATATGTTCAATGTTGATGGGGACAGTGGTGAATAATGCAAAATTATCAAATGCCAGGAAAAAGCAATGAGAATAGTGAAGGCCCCAAAATCTGTTTATTGAAATAGCCTTGGAGGGACTGGGGTTACCTTTGAGGGTTACCTTGAATATTCAAAAGAATCTAAATATATTTACCATTCTTTATAAAGTTATGGTGCTGGGGAAAAGAACTAACTTTATAGATAAAACCCAAACCCACTGGAGTTGAGTCAATTCTAATGCATAACAACCGTATAGGACAGTGTAGAACTTCTCCATAGTGTTTCCAAGGCTGCAAATCTTTATGGAAGCGGACTACCACATCTTTCTCTCACAAAGCAGCCGATGGGTTCAAAGCAGGTGAGCAGTTAACTACTGTGCCACCAGGGCTCCTTAACTCTATAGGTAAGTGACTATATTTCAGGCCAAAAACATGCCCGGTCCTGCACCATCCTCAAAATCCTTGTTACGGGAATAGCAGGTGGAGCCTTGGGTCAGTATAATATCAGCCCAAGATTTCCAAACCCGTCTGGAGGTAACACTTGAAACCACTGCAAATTCCTTAGCCTCCCCCCAGCAGCAACTAACTTCTTTAGCCCAAGTTACTTCACAGAATCAAAGAACCTTGGACCTATTAACAGCGGAAAAAGGTGGAACTTGCCTCTTTCTTAAAGAAGAATGCTGCTATTATATCAACGAATCTGGTCTGGTGGAACAAAACGTCAATACATTGATTAGGCTGAGTGAGGAATTACATAATAGACACTGAACCGAAACCTCACCATTTGAATGGCTCCAATCTCTGGTAGCATAGAGTGGCTAAGACATTTGCCTGCTAACCAGACGGCTGGCGGTTCAAACCCACCAGCCACTCCTCGGAAGGAAGGTTGGGCAATCCTACTTCCGTAGTGATACTGCCTCGGAAGCCCAAGGAGGGGTCGCTATGAGTCGGGTTTGACTCGACGGCACATAACAACAACAACAACAACAATCACCACTAACAACAGCCTGGTTATTACCCCTTATAAGACATCTTATACTAATAAGTCTCTTTTTTCTTTTCGCCCCTTGCCTCTTTAGATTCCTCCAAAACCGGCTTAAAGAAATGTCCAGAGTCACTGTTAACCAACTACTTCTACACCCATACACCCGCCTGCCAACCGACCCAATTCCCATTGACACCAGCCTTTAACCCCACTCCAACCCTATTCAGCAGGAAGCAGCCAGAACGATAACTTTGCCCTTTTTATCACCAAAAAACGCTGGAATGTCAGGCAGGAACACAGCAGGCCAGGCGGGTAAAGGATTAAGCCGGAAATTACAAGCACTGGTCAAGCAAGGGAGTGGCTACCACACCCTATACTAAACCCCAGCACATGACCTTGGCTTAGGAAGACCCTCAACTATTTCCTGCCCACTATGCTAATGAAGTGCTTCAACCCTGCTTCCTGCCCCCATGCTAATAAGGTGCTTTTACCCTATTGGTTCCTGTAACACATACCCTGCTCTCAATCCGGTCCTCTAAGAACCAGGAAGAAAATCACTATAAAAACCCTTTCTTTCACCCAGGCAGCGTGACTTCTCTGGCCCCTCTCAGGGACTCGTGAACCTCGCCTGGGCCCCTCTCTCGGACCCGTGAACCTCTCCTGGGAGCGCAGAATAAAAATTTCTCTTTAACTGCCGCCCCCCCAAAAAAAAATCCTTGCTATGCTTGAGCCCATCATTGCAGCCTCTGTGTCAATCCATCTCATTGAGGGTCTTCCTCTTTTTCACTGACCCTCCACTTCACCAAGCCTGACACCTTTCTCCAGGCCTCACAATTTAGGAGGCTAGGAGTCTAAAGTCAGAGGATTAGCTCCAGCAGAAGGCCCTCTTTCTCTCCCCCCCCCCGTGTGTGTGTGTGTGTGTGTGTGTGCCTGTTGGCTCTGGGGAAAGGTTGTCTCATCCTCCCCCTATGTCTAGGAGTTCTCAGTGCAAGGAACACAGGTGCGCACAAAGGGCACATTCTACTCCCAGCACTGCTTTCTTGGTAGTAATGAGGTCCCTCCTTCTCTGCTTGCTTCTCTCTTTTCTTTGTTGTAAGATTAAAAGTGATACAGGCCACACCCCAGGGAAACTCCCCTTACACTGGATCAGGGCCGTGACTTGGTGACTTGAGCAAGGATGTTGAGTCCCACTCTAATCCCCTTACAACTGATCAGCTGATCACATCAGATCCCATCATGGAGATGATTACATCATTACCTAATTGCCAGACCACTGAGAATAAATGAGTAAATGGCAAAACTGACACCTATTCTAGTGGGCTACAATTCAATCCATGACAAGCACTGACAGCTTTTGGTGTGGAGAGAGGAAAACCCCATTGATTAGAGAACAAAACACTAAGAATAAATATAAATCAATTACCATATCTGTAAACAGCTGGCCTTGACAAAGATAGAAGACCTTGTACTTGGTGGGTTTTTTTGTTTTTGTTTTTTTGGAAAGGAGCTTTTCAAGATATTTCAAAAGACCTTGAGAATGGCAAAATACAAGTTCTTTACTATCTTATCATTTTGATTCACTTGAGTATTGTGCTTTTTTTTGCTTAAAAAGGGTTTAGGGCTCATACCCATTAGTCTGGTGGGAATAGTATAGAATCTATTGCTCACCTTAGTATTGCCTCTGCAAACAGTCCGCAGTGGAATGACTGATCACTGTGGACCAACATGCTGTGTGGAGCAGTGCATTGATTAACCCTTTCCTTCTCCTCTTCCAAGTAGCAGGTATCAGTCTTTTCTTGGAAGTATTCTCAACTAACCTCATCTTACACTCTATATTCTTTTGAGACTCATTTGTAGTAATTGAGGAAATAGAAACATAGAGTTGAAAATATATAATAAACTATAGGTATGTATCCATTACAATTGTGATATCGCTAATACTGCTCAGGTATGGATAATTCAAAGTAAATTATTATAAAAACATTTAAAAATTATCTTTGGATATTCCACTTGCTTTGATGGGTATGTCTCATGTTCTAGGCATTCATTTCATACTACAACAAAATAGGGATCCATGCTCTGAAAAGCAACTATAAATTAAACCAAACGCACTGCCTTGAGTCTATTCCAGCTCATAGCAACCCTATAGGACAGAGCAGAAGTGCCCTAAAGGATTTCCAAGAGTGTAAATGTTTAAAGAAGCAGACTGCCTCATCTTTCCCTTGCAGAAAGGCTGGTGGGTTTGAACTGCTGGCCTTTTGGTTTAGCAGCTGAATGCTTTAACCACTGCACAGCCAGAGCTCCTTATACCTTCTATAGATCTGCAGTGATTTATTAGTTTAGTTTTTGTTGTTGTTAGTTGTTATCAAGTTGATTCCAGCCCATGGAGATCCCATGTGCACAGAGTAGAAATTTATTGTAGGGTTTTCATGGCTGTGTCCTTTTGAAGCAGATCACCAAGCCTGTCTTTCCAGGTGTCTCTAGGTGGGTCCCAATGGCCAACTTTTCAGCAAGTACAGTACCTAAGCATTTGTACCACATAAAAATGAATCATAATATGATGATACTTACAAGCAAACTTATGCAAATAATCAAATTCTATAAACTAATTTTATGTAAAATACCTACAGTTTTGATACTATTAGAACTAAAAGAGTGACTGTAAATATAACCCAATCCAAACCCGCTGCCATAGGGTGAACAATGAATGACTCAAAGCCACCCTTTTAGGACACAGTAGGCCTGCCCCACAGGGCTTCCAAGACTGTAAATCCTTCTGAAAGCAGACTGCCTCATCTTTCTCCTGCAGTGCGGCCGGTGGGTTCTAACCGCTAACCTTTTGGTTAGCAGCCAAATGCTTGAACCACAGCACCAACAAAGCCCCTCAAGGGAGGCCACAGAAGCTGGGAAACTGCCGTTTTGTCACTGTGCTCCTTTCAAGTCTTCCAGCCATCAGCTCCCGAGCGGGGCTGTTGAGTGCCTTAGATCGACTGCCACGCACAGCCATCCTGGGGGGCAGAGACAACTCTCCCACAGGGTTTCCTAAGCTATTATCTTCACAGGAGCACACAGCCAGACCTTTGTCCCGCGCAGCCGCCCAGTGGACTCCAACTGACAAACCTGCCGTTAGCCCAGCGCTTAACCACTGCACCACCAATGTTCCCTGCGGTAGGAACTGGTACCCCTGAATTCTTCCAAGTGAATCAAAATTTTTTCTGTCAAACTGGAGAAAAAAGTAGGGAACCCATACTGAACTCGGCGGAATGGTTCCCACTTTCTTCTCCGCCTGCACGTCCGCCAGCAACTCCCCCGCGCAATAAGACCCCCCCGTAAAAATATTGCCTAGGCGGTGGGTCTCCTTCACCAGCGAGCCTTCCTCCCACTCTTGGCCGGCTCCGCCTAGCGAAGCCCGAGCAACCCGGTTCTCCAACACCCCAGCCCCAGCCCCGCCTCGCCGCACCTCCTTCTTTTCCCGCCCTGATACCGCGCCTTCCGGAAGGGGCGTGGCCCTGCAGGAAGTTCTCGCGTTAGGTAAAGGTGGCCGTTTCCGGCTCCGGTGTCATGGCGGGCTCCTATTCTGAAGGCGCACATGCTGCTAACAGCGGAAAGAGGGAGCAGTTCGGAAGCCGGTTTTTGAACGACCCGGCGCACGTCTTCCACCACAACGCCTGGTAACCCCCTGCCCCTCCGCCCGGCCTGCGGCTCACCCACTGCTGCCCTCCCTGGGGTGCTCTCCTCCCAGGGCCAGCGACTCACCCTGCCCGCAGCTGCCGCGTGAGGCCCCTAAGCTGCCCGTTTGATTTTCCCAGGGACAATGTGGAGTGGTCAGAAGAGCAGGCTGTGGAGGCGGCGAAGAAAGTCCGAGAGAACAGTGCCCAGCGAGTGCCCCAGGAGAAGCAAGGTGCGTCGGAGCCAGCGAACTGCTCGACACGCCCTCCCGGCGAGGCCCGAGGACCGGTGCTGTCAAGAGCGTTTGTTTCTGACCTGACATGAAACTCGGGAGTGTACTGGGGGGG